CAGATCAGGGAAGTTCTCCTTTATTATTTGTTCAAATAAGTTTTCCACTTGTTGCTCTTCCTCTTCCCCCTCTGGTACCCCTATAATTCGGATGTTGGAACATTTAAAGATGTCCTGGAGGTTCCTAAGCCTCTTCTCATTTTTTTTTGAATTCTTGTTTCTTCTTTCTGTTCTGGTTGAATGTTTCTTTCTTCCTTCTGGCCCACTCCCTTGATTTGAGTCCCAGTTTCCTTCCCATCACTATTGGTTTCCTGTGCATTTCCCTTTATTTCACTTAGTTTAGACTTCATATGTTGCTCTAATTTGTGACTAAAATCAACCAATTCTGTGATCATCCTGATCACCAGTGTTTTGAACTGTGCATCCGATAGGCTGGCTATCTCTTGGTCACTTAGAAGTATTGGCTCTGGGGCTTTGAGCTGTTCTTCTTCTTGAGCCATAATGTTTTGGTCTGTTTGCACCTGTTAGGTATAAGGGCTGAGCCTTAAGTGTTCACCAGGGCGGGGCAACCCAGGTCACTGTGTTGTGACACTGTATGTGGGGTGGGGTCAGAGAGGGAACAATGGTGCTTTACTCCACTTTCTGTCGCACCTCAGTCTCTTACACCGCTTTCCCCAAACAAATTGGGCCTTTCTGGTACTGATTCCCGTGTGGGTGGGCTTGTGTGCATTCTATGTAGGATCCTGTGGGTCTTTCCAACTAATTCTCCTGTGAGGCTGGAAGTTTCTCTCTGCACCTCAACCCCACAAGTGTTTTCAATCGGTGTTTTGAGGCTTTATTTCCCGGCCCTAGGACCCTGTGTTTCGCCATCTGTCTCGCTCCCCAGTTATCTGCATGGGAATGTGTGACCACTGCACAGTCAGCCAGCCACCGCACGGTTCTCTGCTTCTCAATAGCTGCCTCGCTGGGTCTGCCCATTGCCACCCCACGCCCGGGGCCTGCCTGGTGCCATCTTGCAGGCCCAGGGTGCCTTGTGTGCCCGGTGTCACCACTTCCTGGGCCACGACCTCTCTCTGCTGGGCTGCTTGACTCTGCCCCGCCTACTGGTCTGGATGAATGTGTCTATTTTAACTCCTTGGTTGTCAGGCTTCCATACAGTTCTATTTTCTCTGTTTTTGGTTGTTATTTTGTTTCTAAATTATTGTCCTTATTTTGGTTGTTCGAGGAGTCACAGTGTGTCTGCCTGTCTCCATTTTGGCTGGAAGTCCTCCCATGGGAACCTTTATGTCCCCATGTGCATCCTCCCTCAGAGGGATTTGTAGTCATGACTAGTATGTAAAAGCCCAGTTCCTCCACCTGAAGTAAGACAAACTCCAGAGCTGCTCACACACTTGCTAGGCTTCTTTGCACACTTGCTAATGTGCCTATTTCACTCCCTTGTTGTTTGTATAGTATTAAAACTAAGTTGACAGTAACTACCTAAACTATATTTTTATAAGTTTAAGATGGTTATTGTAACCCCAAAGTAACTACTAAAAACAATAAAAAATACCTGGCTGGCGTAGCTCAGTGGATTGAGTGCAGGCCTGCGAACCAGAGTATCGCGGTTCGATTCCCAGTCAGGGCACATGCCTGGGTTGCAGGCCAGTTCCCAGCAGGGGACTCAAGAGAGGCAACCACACATTGATGTTTCTCTCCCACTCTTTCTCCTTCCCTTCCCCTCTCTCTAAAAATAAATAAATAAAATATTTTTTAAAAAATTAAAAAAAAACAATAAAAAATATATACATAAAGGGAATCAAAATAGTACACTATCAAAAAATCAACTAAATACCAAAAAAAGCAATAATGGAAGAATTAACAGAAAACATAAGCTACACATAAAACAAGTAGCTGAATAACAGAAGTAAATTATTTTCATCAACAATCACATTAAATGTAAACAGATTAAACTCTCCTATTAAAATATAGAAACTGGTAGATGAAATTTTTTTATAAATCAGCAGAATCCATCTATATGCTGTTCATGAGGTACTCACTTTAGATATAAGGACACAAAGAGATTGAAATTAAAAGAATGAGAAAAATTTTTCCATCCAAATAGTAACCAAAATAGAGCTGGTTTGGCTATATTGTTATCAGACAACATATGCTTTAAATAAAAAAGATAACAAGAGACAAAGGACATTATACATCAATAAAAGGTTTAATACAACAAGATATAATCACTATAAACATATACACACACCTAATAAAGGAGTCTCAAAATACATGAAGCAAACATTGACAAAATTGAAGGGAAAATAGATATTTCTACAATAATAGTTAAAGCTTCCATATCCCACTTTCAATAATGAATACAACAAGGAAGAGAACTAGAGAACAAAATAGAGAACTTGAACAACAATATTAACCAACTAAATCTCACAAAAATATATAGAACACTCTGCCCCAGCACACATTCTTCTCGGGAGCACTCTCCAGGGTAGATTATACATTAGGCCATAAAATAATTCAATAAACGGTGCAGCAGCTATGAAAAACAGTTTGGCAGTTCCTTAAAAAGCTAAACATAAAGTTACTGTATGATCCAATCAGTCCACTTTTTCAGAAGATTTTATTTATTTTTTTTAGAGAGGGGAAGGGAGGGAGTGGGGGTGGAGGGAGAAACATCAATGTGTGGTTGCCTCTCACATGCCCCCTACTGCGGACCTGGACGGCATCCCAGGCCCTACATTGGGGATCCAACCCGCCAGCCTTTGACTCAGGCCAGCACTGAATTCCCTGAGCCACACCAGCCAAGGCCAATCATCCCGCTTTAAATGAACTGAAATCAAGGGCCATGTGAATGTGTGACTGCCAGTTCCACTGGCCACAGCTGCCACTGCCTCACGGCAGCACACTGTGTCCTCGCCACCTCTCCTACCGGTCAGGAGGGATATTTCTTCTTTACATCCTTGGTTGTCAGATTTCCATAAAGTTCAATTTTCTGGCAGTTCTGGTTGTTTTTTGTTTTTAGATTGGTTGTTGTCCTTCTTATGGTTGTGGGAGAAGGCGAAGCAAGTTCACCTACGCCTCCATCTTGGCTAGAAGTGCCTGTTTTTCCATTCATATAGATCTTCATTGATCTCTTTCATCAGTGTTGTGTTTTCAGCATACAAGTCCTGTACACATTTAATTAGATTTACACCTAAGTATTTTTTGGTGTTTTGAGAGATTATAAATGATAATGTATTTTTAATTTTAGTATCCGCATGTTCATTGCTAGCATATAGAAGTACAACTGACTTATTAAATGTTGATCTTATATTCTGAGCCCCTGCTGGTCTTATTAGTTCTAGGAGGTTTTGGTAGATTCCTTGGTATTTTCTTCATAAAGAATCATGTTATCTGAACCAAAAGAATGTGGTTCGATTCCCAGTCGGAGCACATGCCTGGGTTGCAGGCCAGTTCCCAGCAGGGAACACATGAGAGGCAACCACACATTGATGTTTCTCTCCCTCTTTCCTTCCCTTCCCCTCTAAATATAAACAAATAAAATTTTTCTTAAATGTTATTCATCTCTTACCTGCTTTCATCTTTTGTCTAGTTCTCTATGTCTTTGTGTACTTACACCTTTAAAAATTCCCTTTACTCTCGCCCTGGCTGGTGTAGCTCAGTGGATTGAGCGTGGGCCTGCGAACCAGACAGTTGTAGTTCGATTCCCAGTCAGGGCACATGCCTGGGTTGCAGGCTGGTTCCCTGCAGGACAGTTCCCAGCAGGGGATGCATGAAAGGCAACCGTACATCGATGTTTCTCTCCCTCTCTCTGTCCCTTCCCCTCTAAAGATAAATAAATAAAATCTTTAAAAAAAAATTCCCTTTACTCTCATTTTATTTATTATTATCATCATTTTTTATCTTCATCCAAGGACATTTTTTCATTGCTTTTTTAAAAAAGATTTTATTTATTTATTTTTAGAGAGAGGGGAAGGGAGGAATAAAGAAAGGAAGAGAAACATCAATGTGAGAGAAAAACATCAATTGGTTTCCTCCTGTGGGCCACTGACAGGGGACTGAACCTGCAATCCAAGCATGTGAACCCACTAGGAATTGAAGCGACGACCCTTCGCTTTGCGAGACAACACCCAACCAACTAAGCCAAACCGATCAGGGCTTTATTGCATTTTAGGGAGAGAGGAAGGGCAAGAGAAAAACACTGACACCAGAGAGAAGCATTGATTGGTTGCTTCCACTACTGTGCACCAGGTCCTGGGATCCAACCCACAACCGAGGTATGTGCCCTGATGGGGAATCACACCCACAGACTTTCCATTATGGAATGACACCCCAACCGACTGAGCCACACCAGCTCTACTCTCATTTTAAAGAAATTTCAGGAAAAGTAAGAGATAAGCAAGTGTCTATGAATGTCTTTGTTATGTCATTTTTATAAATAAAAATGTGGTTAAAAGAATAAAAATCTAGGTGCTGATGATTCTCTCTGGTCCTGTTACTTGAGAACTGATTTCCAACTTGGGGAAAATAGTTGTTCCATAAGATGAGCCCTTTACTACATACCCTTCCCTCCTCCTCCTCCTCATCCTCGGTCCTCACTGCTGCACTGACTACACACACTGTGGCCGCCACTGCTCCCACCACCCCTTCTCCCAGCATTTTAGGGAGTACAGTGATCCCTTACCTATTTGGGGAGTTATGTTCCAGAGACCTCCTCGATAGGTGAAAATCTGCGAAGTAGTGGCGTTGTATTTATTATTTATATATATTTTAAGGCTTTATAAACCCTTCCCACACTCCTATAAACCTTTCCCACAATCTTATAATCACTTCATATGCTCTTAAACACTTTCTACACTCTTAAACCTACAAAATTTTAACAATATAAAATTCTGTATGCGTACTCACCGGTGAAATATACAGTCACCCCTTGCTATATGGTGGTTCACTTATTGTGGCTTCAGTTTCGCAGGGTCCCGAGATACAGTGAAGCCACAATAAGTGAACCGCAATATAGCGAGGGGCGACTGTAAAGATCGCCTCCGTGGTTTACTTATTTTTCCCAGGGGAGAGTGTGAACACAGTCCCCCACCACCACAAATCATGCAGTCAAGTTTCCCACATTTGGGGAAATTATAGGGGTCAGCACATCCAGAATGCAATGAATAAGGCTTGCACTGGGAAAAACCACCTTCTTGATCATGGTATCTCCCCTGCCAGGTAAGTATCAGTGGTGTAGATTGGAAAAACTTCACAAGTGATCTTGATATGAACCCACGTTATTCACTAGAGTCACTGGAGTAGCTCTTCGTCCTTATAGAAGTACCGCTGATGTTTTAAGTGTTGATCTTATATCCTGACTTCTGCACCCTGTTATGTGCTCCAGTCATATCTGTATTTCTCTCACTGAAAGACTGCACTTGTACATGTTGATACGCCTGAGACTCCCAAGCCTGCTCCACCCCCAGCCTTTTTTTCTACCTCAATTGATGGCAACTCCTCCTTCAGTTGCTCAGGTCAAAAACCTTAGTGATTCTTAACTCCTGTCTTTAAAGCATAGCCAATTTCTAATCTGAGAAATCCTGTAAGCTCTACCTTCGAAATAGATCCTGAATCTGCCCATTTTTCACCACTTCCATTACCACTACTTCTGTACAAATTACCATCTTCCATACACTGTGGCACGCATTACTACAATAACCTAGCGGGCCTCCCTACTTCTATCCTTGCCTCCTGGAAGCTTCACTTCCCTCTTCTGCACAGCAGGATAATACCTTCATACATAAGGATTCAGTGAGATAAAATATAAAAGCCTCTCAGTGCCTAGAGTCGTGAGTGTTTAGTCCACTGCTGCTTTCCTTCTGTGTCCTTTCTTTAGGAAGCTACTTCTCCCTCTTGTGACTTCCTCCTATGGGCACAAACTCATTATTCAAGAGTTTGAAGTTACATGTTGGTTTGATTTTTAAAAATCTGACGTCTTCTCCTTGGACTTTTTAAAAAGAGTTTATTGGTTATGAAGATATATATATATATTTTTTTTTAAGATTTTATTTATTTATCTTTTAGAGGGGAAGGGAAGGAGAGAGGGAGAGAAACATCAATGTATGGTTGCCTTTCATGCGTCCCCTGCTGGGAACTGGCCTGCAGGGAACCAGCCTGCAACCCCGGTATGTGCCCTGACTGGGCATCGAACCTCAACTGTCTGGTTCGCAGGCCCGCGCTCAATCCACTGAGCTACACCAGCCAGGGCTTGAAGATATATATTTTATTTTTTAAAAAGATTTTAGAACTTATTTTAGAGAGGGGAAGGGGGGGGGAGAGGCAGAGAAACATCAGTGTGTGTTTGCCTCTCGCGCGCCCCCTACTGGGGACCTGGCCCACAACCTAGGCCTGTGCCCTGACTCAGAAATGAACTGGCAACCCTTTGGTTGTCAGGCTGGCACTCAATCCACTGATCCATACCAGCCAGGATGAAGATTTACATTTGAAGTCCTTAGGTAGAAAGTTAAAGAAGGATATAAGAAAAATTAGCATAAAGGCATTGAGGGTTGGCATTTGCATTAGGTTTACCACTTGCCACATAACCTAGAACCCAAATTAGCTAACAGCTGAGTCTCTGGTCTTCCCCAACATCCCTCTTCAGCCTTGTATGTCCAGAAGGAACACAGTACTAAATTCAGGGGCCCTGGAATCATTTCACATTAATTTGAACTCTTGGTTCAGCCTGTTACTATTGGCCTTAGGCAAGCTACTCAGGCAGTGGAGACTCAGCCTTCTCATCTGCAAGGAGATAAAATACACATATTGATTCCAGGATAGTGGTGAGGCCGGATGGAGGCCATGGATATGAAGCATTTGGCAGTGCCTCACTACATGTGAACTACTGTTATTCTAGAGCTTGGAATTCAGAAACAGAATCAGGTTGGGCTTAAGCTCACAAGGTCACATGGATACAACTGGATCCTGAACAGGACCTCCAGGTCAAGGTGGCTGCAAAATGCTCCCCACTTTTAGGACTGAGTAAGGCCTGTGCTCTCTGGGGCTGCCACTCCCTTCCTCTGTACCATCCAAGCTTGGGGGATAAGAAGGGTGGATGATGCTTCTGGCTGTGGGATGCACATCTATTACTTGTCTGAGGCACCTCCTTATAGCACATATTTTCTCAGACTATTACCGAATTATCGGTAGCTATGTGCCAGGCACTGTGCTAGTTTGTTCTAGTTTGCAAAGATAGATACAATTTCGATGGCTGCTCTCAAAGATCTTAAAATCTAACTAGGGGGATAAGATGTGACTGTGCCACTTACCAAGTTGATAATTATTTATTGATCACCTACCATGCATAAGACGATGACTGATTCAGGCACAGCCTTAGAAATCCAGAGACGGGAGAGATGGTGGTGGCCTGGTCATACCCATCTAACCCAGTGCCTGACCTCCCAAAACGCTGATGAGATGGATGGATGGATGGAGCTGGTTGGATGGTTGCTTGTCAGGGAACGTTTCAAAGTAAAACTAGTCATGGCTCTTATTGAACAGAATTCACTCTGTAGAGAAGATGGTGCAATGATACAGTCCTTCAGTTCATTTGAGGCTGTCAGGCAATCTAGCCATATGTAAGGGTTTCGGTAGGGCCTGAGTGGAAAATTCAAATGGCTATGAGGTCCATAAAGAAAAGCAAGTAAGTCAAGGAGGCTGGGTGCTTATTCTCTGTTGTCTTTACACATGCATCCCTCTTGGTCTACTTTCCATTTCTGCACTTTTAAATTTTCCTTTTTTTTTTTTTTTTAATCTTCACCCAAGGACATTCTTACTGACTTTAGAGAGGGGAAGGGAGGGAGAAAGAGAGGGAAAGTAACATCGATGTGAGAGAGAAACATCAATTGGTTGCCTCTTGTACATGTCCCAACCGGGGACCTAACTTAAAACCTAGGCATGTGTCCTGACTGGGAATCAAACCTGTCACCCTTCAGTTTACAGGATGATGCTCCAACAAACTAAGCCACACCAGCCAGGGCCATTTGTGATGTTTGACAGAGTTACCAAAACCAAAAACCTATTTCTCTACTTCATGAAAAACATCTGTGCAAGCACAACACCTGATCCTCAGGCTTAGAGACAAGGAGTACCTGGGAGGGGGAGAGCGTATAGTGAACTGGGCACTCAGCCCTACGTGAGAGAGCAGCCACTTCTCAGTTTAAACCAGTTTCTGAGTGCGAGAACATGGGCCAACTGTTTCCAGCTCCACTGATGTTTCAAAAGAAGCTCGAAATATGGATTTTTAAATGAACTCTTCCGATTTTAAAATAAGTATTAATTCGAATTTTAAGAAGGCATTTGGTGGACCAGCTGAGACACAATTTCCAATGTAGTGACCAGTCTGTACCCTCTATTTAGGAAATCAAGAGAAATCAGGTTAGAAAACTGGGCTGAAGCCAAGTTTCACACAATCTTAAATGCCATGCTAAAAAATTGTCACTTAAGCTTACAGTTTTAAAAACTATATATGGTTTATCAAACAAGGGAGTGGCAGATGCAAAGGTAGTGTAGTGGCATATGAAATAAACAAGGAGACAGTTAGGACTGTAGGTTACTGCAATAACACCCGTTTGCTGACAATGAAGATGAAAGATGTGGCAGTAAGACTAGAAAGATGGACTGGGCAAAAAAAAAAGCCTAAAAACTTGGTAAGGATGATAAAATTAAAAAAGAGAGCAGGAGAAAAGATAACTGAGGTTCCAACTTGACTGAGAATGAGCCATCTCTCTTGCCAGAAAGGCCAGGCAGGTCACTGTTAGGCCTGCCAAGTTTAGAGGCGTTAGCCTGATGGTCAAGTCATCACCGCAACACGGGAAGAGGTCTGACCTGAGCAGCTGCAGTCCTGGCTCTGCTCCTAGAGCGCGGGCGTCTCGAGGAGCCTGGTTAAAATAGGCTTTATAAACAAGTAGCCTATAAAATGGGGATGATGCACTGACTTCTCAAGGAGATTGTGGGGAACAAGGAAGAAGCGAACCAGCCAGCACTAAGGAGGGGGAAGATGAGGGAATGCTTTCTTTCCTGGGGCTCTGGAAGGCTCAAGGCCTTAGGGAGGGGCCGGCAGAGGCCCACTTTCTGCAAAGGACCGGTCTGCCGGCGCTTCCTGGAGAATCGCCCGCGGCCACGTGCGGAGGTACGCTCCGCCGGCCGGTAGAAGACCAGAATGCACTGCGGCAACCAGGTTCAGGGACACCCCTCCGCTGCATTCCCCACGCGCTCCCGGTCTGCGGGGCCGGCCCTCCCCTCCCCAGTTCAGGATCCACCCTTTCTGGAACTCAGGAGGGCAGGGATGCCTTTATGGGGGTCCCTGCCCCTCGCCCCGCACCCTGCACTGGACGGGAACCTCTCGTGGGGAGGGCCAGGCCAGGTTCACCGCTGCGAGCCGGTCACTTTCCCTGAGTCCTCACACTCGCCGGAAGTGCATTTGCCTCCGCCCACTGCAGCGCCTCTCTAGGAGTCGGGGCGCTGGCATCTCAGTGGGAATAACCCCTTCGGCCCCAGTTGGCTATAGCTATTGCTGGAGGAATTCGTTCATTTTTCTCCCTGAGCCAGGTTGAGCTGTCTTGGGTTGATATAGAGGAGCGTTCTGATGAGTGAGTGTTGCACCTCTATCTAGTTGGCAGACACCTACCGCCTGGGTTTCCATCCCAGCTCGGTTGAGATGGACGAGTTATTTAGCGTCTCTGAGCCTCGGCTGTCCTGTCTGTAAATAATAACCTTATCAACCTCAAATCCTTGCTGTAAATACTCAGAGAATTAATACATGTAAAGCACTTAGAAGAGTGCCTCATAAGTGCTTAATGAATGCTAGTTATTATTTTTACTGCTACCTTTTAAAAAAGGACTACTGGTGGACCGTCAGTTTTGTGATATGAAAACAAGGAACTTGATAGAAATGATAGTAAACGCTACTATTATTGAGGACCTTCTTTGTGCCAGGTTCCTTACATGCCTTATTTCTATTTCCTTAGGGAAGTTCTATATTGTTACCCCCATTTTATGAAGAAAATGAGGTGAATTACTGAGTGCAGGTCAGAGTCTGATTTGAACATAAGGCTCTCTGATTCCAGGGTGCATGCCTTTCCCTCTCTTCCACAATAAATCTCTGATTTTGGAAATTTTTTTTTAATTTCTAACTAAAGCTTCAAAACCCATGACAATGTCATGGGCATGGCTGTCTAGTTAGTTAGTC